TAATCCACTCTCTTTTAGGTTGTCTTTCTACTTTCCGTAATTGTATTTTTCAGTGTCTGGCAGTCACTGCCAAACTTTCTTATATGTCTGTCGCTATTACTAGCTGAAGTTAGTACTGTATTTGATATATCTGAAATGTTTTTCTAAAACAGGGGTCCTTAACATATTCAATTCAATTCACAGGCCAAGGACCCCGAAACTGATGGAGAGACAGAGTGGAGACTCCTAATTATATACTGTATAGAGTTGCGCCAATGCCATTTTTTGCCAGGTATCGGTATCAGGGCACAGGCAGGTGTTATTAAAGTATTTCTGATTCTGATTCTGCAGTATTGGCCGAAACAAAACACCTGATGCCTGGCTGTGCAGTATGTGTATATATGAAATTCTGCATACCACTTGGATGTAAAATAATTGCCATTGTGGCTTTGTCAAGCTGCTGCCTACATTTGTGAAGCAGGAAAAAGACTAATACAAAGTGAATACAGTAGAACTTTTTATTGCCTACCTGGAATGGGTGACAATAGTTGAATAAACTTTTGGCTCTCTAAATGGTATCGGTGCCCTATTTGTTGGTACTCACCCATACCGATACCCCCATTTTAGTGCAGCATCAGGACCCTGCCCCAATACTGGTATCGGTATAGGTGCAACACTAATTATATATATTGTTAGAAATTGTGTTATATCAAACTGGTTCTATAGTCACTCTATTACATATGGAGTAATGTAATGAAAGTATTTTTTCCCTGAGATTATTAAAGTATTTCTGATTCCTGGTTGATGGGACAGGTGTGAATAAAACGGTGCCCAGCTTGAAAGAGCTCCTGTGTGTCGCTGAATGTGAGCATTGATGACTGAAAGACATCTTCTGCCTCCATTTATCTGTTTACTACAGTGTGTTGAATTCATGTTAATGTGTATTTAAAGACATTTCAATTAGTGGAAAAAATTGCAGGGGGAATATAAAAAAAACTCTAATCAACCAAATCTTTCACGACTCCCATGCAGTACCTCCATAGACCCCCTAGGGGTCGCGGACCCCCTGTTGAAGACCTCTGTTCTAAAGAGTTGTATTTACCTATTTAACTGCAGAACAGGATGCTTCAAATCAGATTTGTTTGTAGGGTTATGCTTTCCGCTTTTAACAACTGTGGTGTGTCTAACCCCTTGCTCACACTGGCTCCGGTGCGGTCTCCGTCGGCTCAGTAACCGCACACCCCCTCTCACACCGCCCTTTTGACTACGGTGCGGTGCGGCTCTGCGGCTCCGGCAACAGGTCCGGAGATTTAACTCGCGAGAACAGAAGTTCACTTGAGTTCACGTAACTTCATGCGATAACACGGCCCAAATAAGGATATTTGCGAGAGCTTGTTGCGGAGGGCTCCGGCACGCCGCAAGGATAGCTTTCTTGCTGAATTTTCTGCAGCGCCGGAGTGTCTCGTACACCTCAGCAGCCGGTGAGAGAGGTTTACGTCTTTTTAATGACTTGGAATCACTGCGGCGCCGCACCCACCGCACCGCAACGGTAAGACCGGATTTGGTGTGAGCCGGGGGTGAGTGTGGTTACAGTCAACAAAGCAAACACTTGTAAAGGTTAACCTTATTTCAGCCTCTTTTCTTTTAGGGCCTCTGTTTGATCAGGAAAACCCATGTTGGGAACAAAGAATTATTAAAATCCAGACAAATTTATAAAAAGCTTTTGAGGATTATGTTGATGTAACTTTTAACCCCTAACAACCACATCCAGATTCTGTTTCTTCTTGTAAGTTCTTAGATTTATGACACCTTTATTACTCTGAGCCAGAAGGATGTGAGAGATTTTTTTACACCTGTATGGAAAAGGTAAATAATGACAGGGCTCCTGTATCCCCCCCTGCATTTCACCATTTCATCACTATATCTTGCTTTGCAGCACATTACCAGTTTCAACCTGTGAATTTCTCTTGATTCTTGATCATCTGAAGCCCTCAGTTTGCTTGTTGATGCTGTTCCATATAAACTATTTAAAGAGCTTATTTTTGTTGTTGGCTGTTATCTATAGCGGTCAGGTCTGAACTCCTATGGAACCAACAGTAAACAGCACATCAACTGACTAAAAAAATATCCCTTTGATTAATTTGTCATAGTAGCTTCGCCTCGTCTGTTCCTACTTGACTGTGACACCAACTCAATATTGGAGATCTGTGACTGGCTGGATGTGCTCTTTTCATCCTCTGACATTGGAGCTGACTCAGCGCTCCTGTGCCTGGCTGTGTGTTTCCTGGGCAGGGCTGCCCTTTAAAATTGCCTTTTGTATCTCTGCTTCTGTCTCCTTAAAACCCAGTCAGCCTCTGCAGATGGCCGCTCACACTAAGTCTGATTCTGCTTGACGTTTTTTCCGGTAAAAGGGAGTTTTTTCACTCCACTGTCACTGCAAGAATGCTTGGTGCGAGGGAAGAGTTAATGCGTTGATGCAATCAACTGGTTTTCCTTAGGAAGAAAACCTTGAACCAATCTGATTGTATGATCTGGTTGAATTGTATCTGTAAAATGCTTTGAGATGACAGGTGTTGTAAATTGGCGCTATATAAATAAACTAAATTGTATTGAATTGAAATTGTTTTTTTTAAATATTTCAAGTTTTTTTTACATTTTTTTACATTGATATTTTATTTTAAAATTAATTAATTAATTAATTGATTAAGATCTTTTTCAAAGTTTAATTTCTGCATGGAAATTTTTTTTTTCCACATTTCCTTTAACAAACGTGTTCTTTGCTTAATGGAACTAAATGTAATCCACATCTGAAGATACCGTCATTAACAGTCTTCTGAGGAGGATACTCATGGTGGTCGTCATTTTCGAAAGAAACTTCTTTTTGAAATAATCTCCAGAGCTTCTAGGGGAATTCCTAAAACCTTCTTAAAGACGTTTGTTGAGCTTCTTTAAGATATTTGCTCGATGCTGATACCCCAGCAGATGATGGAGGAAGAGATCACACTCTCCATAACAGACTGATAGAAGATATGCAGCATCTTGTTGCAAACGCTGAAACATTCTTCCTCCTCTCCTCATTCCCCCACTAAGAGGCTATCATGGTTTTGTCAAAGTTTTATCTTTGAGTTTTCATTGATTTTATTTCTATTTTATTTTATTCTTGTCATTTTTGATTGTATTTCTTAGGTATTTCTTGTTTGCCGTCTGTTGCCCTGTCAGCTCTCCTTTTCTCTAGTTCCCTTCTAGACTCCTCTGTCCACATGTTCCCAATCAGCTGATTAAGCCGAGCATACCTTTGCCCTGGCCACCTTTAGCCAATATATGGCCACCCCTGTGGCCACCCCTATCATTTTTTTCCTCTACTTCAGATGGCGGGAGCAGTAATACTCTCAAGTGGAATATTCTGATGGCCGTTTCTTCCTGTTAAAATTGAGTTTTTCCTCTCCACTGTCGCTACAAGCATGCATAGTGTGAGGGAATGCCTTCAAGTCAATGAGCTGATGGAATCAACTGGTTTTCCTTAGATAGAAATCTTTGAATCAATTTGACTGATGATTGTCAAATTGACCTTGATATGACATGTCTTGTAAATTGGCGCTATATAAATAAACTGAACTGAATTGAATTATGCACATCAATACACTCAGAGCATTCAGCTCGGCAAAGAACTCATGCTCTTCAACACTGGGTTAGGGTGTTTACCTTTGCACAGGTAAACAGCACATTTCTTCTTCTACGCTTGCATTATCGGCAGAGCAGGCGCTGAATGCGCACTTTCGTCTGGTTTGGTCTGCCGCGGTTTCCGTAGTTCCGTAGACTCGTGAACGCGCTTTTAGGAAATCCTATACACTACTGTTTATGCTCTAAAAACATTCTAAATGACTTCGTTTCGAGTAAATTATGGACGCTACCCACTCAGGACACTTGGAATACATTGGACGAGCAGTATGGAGGAATATTGACACGTTTTTTGTGGACTTTTATGGACCTTTCTGCCTCGGGCACCATAGACCTCCATTATTTGAATGTCAGCAGACAGCAAGAAGCCTCCCAGATCTCCAGATGCATTTGAGATATCAAAAAAGTACTCCAGAGTGTTGTTCAGCATGGGGGTGAGTAGAAAATGAAGGCTAATCATGTTTTGGGTGTACCATTCCTTTAAAGGTGATAAGTACAGAATTCATGCTCTTTTCAAAACTAGATTTTGTTATATGGGATAAAGAGAATATGACGTAATGACGTAAAATCAAGGGCCAAATGTAGAAAAAAAAAACTGCATCTCCCTTTAAGCAGTCACTGGCAGTCTAGGTGGCATGTGGGCAATGAAATGGAATAATGTAAACAGATGCAAAACCCTTCATGCACCGCAACATATATTTGCAAAATATTCTAACATAAATTTGTCAAATATAAGAGGAACATCCTAGTTTGGTTTAAAGAAAACATTTTAGTTTTATTATAATTAAGCTTGCTGCAAGGATTACACAGTTTGAAGAAATATTAAATTAGACCACATGTCAAGGTCACAAGGATGTGAATGACAAGGAAGGGCTATATATACTGCATGCATCATTTAGGTAGTTAACATTGTATCACATCCGGAGCCCTTTGAGTAATTTACTATCACAGGGAGGTGCTTCAGCAGAGAAAGTGTTGGGGCCGCACGCTGAATTTAGGAGCCGGTATCACAGATTAGAAGTCCGAGCCTGCCTGGCCACCCTGCCCGGCTACCCTTATTATTATTTTCTGGCTACGGCCCTGACTGGTCGGTATATTCATTCTGTAGACTGAAGGTTGAGATGTATCAGTGTTTACTTAAAAAAATTATGCAAATTCTTTACATAGAATGTTAAACCGAGTTGCTGTCATGAGTTTTGAGGGGTGATGGGGACATGGTGGGATGGGATGGGTAGGGGCTTTAAACCAAGCCAACTGCACATTGAGCAACATTAAGGGCGTCTCCGTTGCTGGTTTAAAAGTAACAAACACAACAATTACGAGCTTTAAAAGATCAACCTCAGAGTCAAAATCAAAGATAGGATTCCTGCTGGTGACAGTCACCTCCGCGCGCGTCGCACGGGCCAAAACACACTAACACACCCTTCCAAGAGGAAGCACGCGCCACTGTCCCACCAAAGAAGAACCGCAACAGGAAACAGCCGCTCCGCCTGGTTCCCAGGTTCTCCTGCCTTTACCAGGCGCAGCAGCATTGATCCTCAGTTTGCCGTCTGACCGTCGGAGAGTTTGGAGCTGAGCCGCAACAGAGCGCAGAAAACCAGGTGAAGGTCTCTTTATTACTCTGCTTATTTAAATCAATAGAAGCGCTAAATGTGTTCGAATGACTGGTACGCAAAGTTTGAAAACTTTTGAAAGAGTTTTTTAAATGATTTGGTATCAGAATTAGTTTTTTGTGCTGCGGGTAGCCTGGCTGTCTGTATAAAAACATTATCTGTGCCATCACTCTTATTATGATAAAGTTAAATTAGGGAAAGTGCTTGGTAAATCCACAGAAAGCATTTTTTAAGCGTATGTTTTATAAATCCGCGGTCAATCAGCACATTTAATTTTAAAGCATCATGTGCCAAGTGTTCATGTTTTCTGATTTAACATTTTTATTTTCATCGACATGCATACATACATTTCAAAGGGAGTCTGTACCACAAAGTTTTCTACTAAACCGACTGTTCTTACCTTCAGACTAGGTAAATATTAGAGAATTTCCAACAAGTCTGGAACATCTTGTATGAATGTTTTGGTTCTTGATGGAAAATTTGATACTGCTCACAAAATGACCTATTCTGTTTATTTTTCTGAGCCTTATTCACAAGGAACTACTTATCTAGATGTTTCCATCACCTTGTTATGCTGTGAGCATGCAGGGGCGGACTCAGGAGCAGAGGTGTCAAGTAACGAAATACAAATACTTCGTTATTGTACTTAAGTACACTTTTTAGGTATCTATACTTTACTCCATTAGCCTACTTATTTTTCTTCCTACTTTTTACTTCTACTCATTACATTTTCACACGAGTATCTGTACTTTCTATTCCTTAGATTTTTTTAAAACAAACGTTACTTGTTACTCTTGGCTTCGGTTTAATGCAGAGGTCACAGATTAGTGGACCGCGGTCCGGTGTTATGCCGAAAAGTGCATGTCTGCTGCGCCTCACTCTGTTAAACTGCATATCGGCGAGGAAAACGGATTAAAATATGACGAATGGAGCTATTTGTTGTTATATTATTGATATAAAAACGTTTAAATATCCATCCCTTGGGAAATCGTGGTTATTTGGCAGATTTACAAAAGTACGGGTGTTATGAACAACATTCAATCCAAAGATGTTGTCAGAGGTACGGCTGATTTATTTGTTGTAGACTCTTGTTATTCACACACAACAATAAACAGTGATAGCCGACGGGAGTTTGGAAACTGCAAGGCTTTGTCTTAAGCGGAAAATCAAACGCGCATCTACACAGCACAGCATTCACAGACCAGTGTGATGCATTAACGAGCGTCAGATAGCTATGGTGCATTCAGGAGCATTGGACATTTCATACTCACAAGCAAAAAGACAAACGGAACAGAACTTAACTCATGCAATAATGTATTTATTCAGAAACAGTGTGGGCTTTCTTGCAATGCCAAAAGCTCTATAATTGTATTTCTGTTATTTTTGATAATAATAATAATAATAATAATAATAATAATAATAATAATAATAATAATAATAATGCACATCTGCACCTGTCATCTCAAGTTTTTTATTCTAAAAAATCTATAATATTACAGCAGCAAATTATCAAAGTTTTTCAAAAGCCTGTTTAAAAGCTCCAAATAAGGCTTCAGATCAGACAGCAACAATTACGCTGTCATTGTTTTGCAGGGCAGAATTTGCATTTGCCGACCCTTATCCTTTAACTACTGATGGATATACAGGAATACAGTCATACAAGTATCAACTCCTCTGAGATAGCACAGGATGTAATTTTTGGCCAATTTCTATTTTTTTTTTTTTTTTTTATTTAATGTATAAATGAATTCATAAATACCTAATTTAATTTCAGTGTTAAATTCTATTTAAAGTAACAGATCATTAAAAATGTATCCGGAAATTTAGTGGTTGATGATTTTCTTTATTCAGACTCCACTGATTTTTAATTGGTTACCTCTGGTTTAATGTTTAAAATATTTATTTTACGTCATGTGCGCCATCCAATGCAGATCATTGGCGCCATCCACATCTAGTGAAAACTAGTGTAATTGGATGAGTCAAATAAAGCAAACACTCATTGGTTAGCTAAAGGAAATCATCAGAAGCAAGCAGGTGTTCTTCAAACTGCAAACGTGAATTGTCTATGCCATGCTACAATGTCGAATTCAGAAAAAGATGTTGAAATGTCTCAAAGGTGGGACACAGGCGAGAGCGTATCGGGAGAGGAAGACCAACAAGACCTCCATCATGCTTGGCCCTATCTCAGAGAATTTTTCGAAATAGTCAAAAAATGTAGCTTTCAATTCACATAGTGGCATCTGGCTGCGTTTTTTTTTTTTTTTTTTTTAAGGTCACTTTATACTTTTATACTTTAAGTACTTTTTGGAGCACATACTTTTTCACTTTTACTTGAGTAAAGAGGTCAAGTTGGTACTTCAACTTTTACCAGAGTTTTTTTAAACTGCTGTATCTATAATTCTACTTCAGTTACAAATGTTTGTACTTTTGACACCACTGCTCAGGAGAGTACATCTGTGGGGCACGGCATTGTGCATTGTTCTTTCTCTGAGTGAGAACGTGATGGAGAGAGAGAATATGCTCAATTTATTAAAACCATTTTCAACAATGAAAGTAAATGTAAGAAATTAAATTCAAAGTTTGTACTATCTAAGTATTTCATGTGGATGGTGGTCATTGTATGTGTGCATCGTCCCTTAAAGGTTTTCAGGGTGTTTCTATGTAAAAATGCTTCCCTGGGAACAGGAACCTCAGCAGGAAGCACCACAGATAATTTTACACCACAAGGTTCCTGCAGATTGGTTTGTGCTATCTCCAGGTTGTAGGGCAGGCATCCCCAAAGTCGGTCCGGTAGGGCCGCTGTCTTGCAGGTTTTAGAGGTTTCTCTGCTTTAGTACAGCTGATTCTGATGATTGCAGTTCAGCAAACGCCTGTTGATCAGCTATCAATGAAAATCAGCAGTGCTAAAGCAGGGTAACCTCTAAAACCTGCAGGACTGCGGCCCAGGAGAGGAGTCCAGGTTGGCAGAAGCTTGGTTTGGTGTAGAAGGCTTATAGACGTACATGTTTGAATCCCCCCCCAGTTCTGTTAGCTCTACGCCTGCTGAAGACACAGACGTCCATCCCTATGAACACTGGGACGGAACTCAATGGGAAAGGAAATGATTCTTATTTCAACCGTTGCATATATTAACACGGTGTGAGAACATACATCGTGAGCTGTGAACTTTAGAACCCTGCAGTTTCATCATACAGTTTGAGCTCTACCTGCATGTAACGATTGAAAATATTGCACACTTTATGGCTGGCTTTACTTGACAGCTCTGCTCACGATTGTTAAGCTGTCACACTTCTCTCTCTTATTGTCTCTGGCAGCAGGTACCTTCGCTAATACTAGCTGACATGATAAAGTAGATATAACTTGCCCTAACATTCATTAAAGCCTCAGCCGTACACCGATCTGTGGTCCACTCTGGCCTTTTGACTCAATTTCCTGTTTGCTACTTATGACAACAATATGCTTTGTATGACCTCATTAAACAATATATAAATAATTCACACTTCACTGACTTTTTTTAGGTTTGCTCACATTTCTCATCACATTTGGATGGAAACACTAAAAAGCTAAACCAATTACTATTTCTAGGAGAAACACAGGACTTAACCAGTGAAAATAAGGCCAAACTATGAAAGTGCAGTTCACTATTTCTCAGCTCCTTGACAAAATAATGAGCTTCTTACACATTACACTAAATTCAAGATTAAATTAAATGTTTTGTCTGTCTATCTGTTGTATCCAGAACTCCTGAAGTGGAAAAGTTTTAGTTTCACCTGGTTAAATAATAATTAAAAAAAAAATCTTCTTTTAGAAACCTTTTGCTATCTGACTGTTAATCGATTAATCTAAAGAATAATTGACATATTAATTGATTTGCAAAATAATCGTTAGTTCCAGCCCTAGTTTTTGTTGCACTTAATGGTATGAGGTGCTTAAATATATGCTGAAAATCTTGTGATATACTTTTTAGTCACTATATAGTTTATAAAGTATAATTCACTGCTACAAGAACTACTTGAGAGAGACCTGATAGTAGGAGTTACCTAACCTGAAATGATTGTAATCACTATCAGAAAAAAAAAATAAAAAATTAGGACATCCCTTTTTATTTGGTACTGTATAATTAACTCTGTCTTGCTATGTTAGACCTGTGTAACACATGTTTCTTAAGCAGAAAAATGTGCAGCTGAGTCCTGCTGATTAGCTATTATCAGGGGTAAGCTCTTTGAACAAAACAAGCACACCCTGAAATGGTCCGTGACCTCAGACAATAGCTCTCACTGTGTTGGATGGGACTGTTACAAAGTTCAATTCAATTCAGTTTATTTCTATAGCGCCAGTTCACAACACATGTCATCTCAAGGCACTTTACAGTTCACCAGATTATACAGTAAGATCGATTCAAAGTTTTTTATCTAAGGAAAAACCAGTTGATTGCAGCGACTCATTGACTCAAAGGAAACCCCTTATACGAACCATGCTTGTAGCGAGGTGTGGATACTTCTTTAAAAAAAAAAAAAAGGATGCAACTGAGAAAAGATCTGAAGGAATCGATTTCACTCTAATGCACAGCAAGCAGTAAAATAGGATATATGTGCAAAAGTCCCTTGACTTTAGAGCAGCTTTATAGTTATAAGTGAAAGCTTAACATAGTTGACAAGGAGCAGAAATTGTTTGTAAGTCTGAGCGGAGACCAGCACAGAATTGGTGTTAGAACATAAAGCATTTTGCTATTAAATCAAGAAAAGTGCTCACTTACATTCTACAAATAACTCTCAAACTGTAGGTGTAACATGTTGAAAGCAAATTTAAAACATGGTGATGTTTTAATTATTGTTTGCAATAAAACATTTAAAATCAGATATGCAGCCAAGAAATCTAAAAACCAACAAACAAAAATAGAAATATATAGGGCCAACCCTGAAATTCAGTTAAGTTAAAGCCGTAGGGAAGTGGGTGTTCCAACTGTTGCAATTCCAAATTCTCCCGCG